CTCTGTGCATTTACCTACCTACCTCCATGTCTTGTGTTATTTGTTGCTTAAATTCTTCTGCCCCTCTTCACAAAGCCACATACATACCCTTTCTCCTCCTGGCAAAATCTCAACTCCAGCGGTGCTTCTTGTCCTATGCTACCTCCTCCCATCTCTTCCCTTCCTAATTGCTCACAGCACCCAGATTCATTCCATCAGTTGAAAAGCACATATCACCCTGCACTGTGTTCAGTTGTAACTTGGCTGCCAGAAGGGGCTGTGGTGTAACTGAACGGAAGACACTTTGTGGGTGAAGAGAACAATTTCTGAAACAGAGATGTTACACAGAGCAGAAGTCAGCAGTACTTCCAGTTAGCAGGCCAAGCTCCCCTGGCCCAGCTCTCATGGATACCCCTGACAGTGGTGATGTCCCCATTCAATATTTAAGAAACTCTCTTTGCCTTTCTCAGGAAAGGTTTAATTCCACCACTGCGCTTTCCACCCAAGTGCTCAGGAAACTCACCAGATGCAAGTAACAGTAGCAACTGACTCTCGTTCCTCAGCATGTCCTGCGAGGATTAGTCTTTTTTCCCATGATCACTCTCAGACATGCCATCCATTGACAGACCTAAACATAAGGCCTGCTTGAAGTCGACCCCTATAGCTTCTGAAAGTAGAATATTGATCTTTTATACTGAAACCAGAAAATTCAGAGCAACTCACAAGGCAAGATCATTTATCCATCCACCCGGGGGGTGGGGGATGGGGGAGGGAGAGATCATGAAGATAATATGTTCTGGAATACAACTCCCAAAACATCCCTCAAGAAACTTTTCTCAGAAGTTATAACTATGAAAACATTCCTGCAGAAAAATGCTCTTTCATTTTCATAAACTGCCCTCAAAGTTTGTGGGAAGTGTGCACTTGGGAAAGACACAAGGAAATAGATAAAACAATTAAATAATGAATGGGGAAAGGTGAAAACATGGATAGACAATAGGGAATTAGAAGCAGACCCTAATTTTAAAAGCCTATACATATACATATATGTGACTATTGGTTGAGAGACTGGAGGTCCTAGAATGTGGCTGCTATACACTGCTTTGGTATTTTATCTTTTTAATTCCGATAGTTGTAAATGGCCATGATTTGGAGTGTGGTATGGTCAGAATAATAATTTCCCCAACAAGGGGCTCTGGCAGAAGGCCTGCTCGCCTGTTTTACAAATTCATGTTTCCTGCAATGCCTACCAGAACGCAGTGTCTGACAGAAAGCAGCAGCACAGGGAGTGAATACTTGGATCCAACAACTGAGCTTTTCCATCTAGATCCTTCCTCTCCTAAACTGTTACAGTTGTAAAATGGACACCATCACAGGTATATGGTGTGAGGGAATGCACACTCTCCTGGAATTTAGAAGGCTCAGGGTCTAGTTTCATCTCTGCCACTTATTCACGTCACTTATTTTAGCCTTAGCTTACTAATTCATAAAGTCATCTAAAAAAGGTTAAAACTAGAAAGGACCTTGGTGATTAGGATTTCTTTAAGATGGGGTGCCTGTCCCCATCCCCAAAAGAGATTTCCCAGATTGACACACTTTCTAAAATTTGGATTGTGAAAAAAAAAATGAGTGTAACAATCATGCTTTTTCAAAACCAATTTTATTCCTCACTGTTGTGACATTTATCTGCACTTCCGATCCCGAACCCTATCCCCAGGCAATTGAGAACCACTAATCTAGACCAGTCACAATTCCTCCAGCCACCCTCATGGGCTGACTAAAGTTGTTCAGTGTTCCATCATGTAACCCTTTGCTAATCTAAACTTTCTAAAATGAGCTCCATATATTTCACCTGCTTTCCTGCCATTATCAAATTAAGAACAACCTCATTGGTCTGGATTTCTCAGTGTGGTTTCTTCTACTTTACTTCACTCCTTCTACATGACATGACTATCCTGAGCTATAGCCTAGATTACTCAGTGTTCCCTGAAGATAGCTCACATGCCACTGCCCAGAGCCCTCTCTCCTCCTCTACCTGTCAAAGCTCAACCCATTTTCCAAGCCTCATCTCAACCATTTTCTCAGCCCTCTAAAACAGAAATGTTACCTCCCTTTTTTGAATGTCCTTGAGATTTTGTTTCTACTTAGCTATGTATTTGTCATACTTCATGACAATTAGAAGGTTCTTGAGCATGACATATGTATCTTATACAGCTTTATATGACCCAAAGATCCTAAATGTTTTCAAACTTTCAATCATGATCTTCACCAAGATATATAAACATTGTCACCTAGCATACCCATGTGTGTAGGCATATTTATAACTGAAACAAAGCATTCCTTACATTATACATATTCTTATTACATTCGATGTACTTCGACATCTCCTTTTTTTTCTGTTCTATTTCATTTCTTTTAATATTGGTCTAAATTGATTTCACAATTAGTCACAGTTGTAAACAGCATCGAAATATTGCACACAGTAGGTGTACTATTGCGTATGTTTAATTAAATTGGCCTTTTACCAAAATCATTATAGAAATATTAGATCTGTGAATATATTCGGTTAATCCATTTTGATATGTTTATTTAGATTTTAATTTCACAAAAAATATTTTACATTCTCAACATGACAGTTTTGTTTTTAATTTTACATGAGCAAACTGACCTGAGACAGAAATTCAGTTCATTTCTATTTTTAATGTAAGAAGATGAAGAAATGTAGTTGTACAGCAGTTACTCCTATGGAGGCAAAGCTCCTAAAAGTCATGTGTTTGGCAACTGATGATAGTTACTGCCTACCGAGTGCAAAGAATGT